CTGAAATTTTGGAAAAAAAATTAAAAAAATAATGTTTTTTCAATCTAAACTTTTTACGCTTTAATGGGGTGGGTTTTTTTTAACTTATCAAAATTGTTATATTTAGCAAAAGTACAATAGAAATTTTTTTTTGGCATCACATGTGTCATGTGATCTGCAGCTGGACCTTACTGCCTTGTACAACTACGGAACTATCCGAATACCTCAAATCAGTATGGACATCTAAGCTAGGGTAGGGCTGGGTATTGTTAAAAATCTTTCGGTTCCGGTACCAATACCGATACCTTCACTTCGATATCGGTTCCTGAACGATACTTTTTTCGATACCAGTTTTATAATATCAATTCGAAGAAAAAGAAAATTACACAACATAAAAAAGTACAAATCTTGAGTTTTATTTTAAGCTCTGATTTTTCCATTTACATTTTTCCTCTTACATAAAAAAAAAAATTCAGTGTCTAATATTCACTGTTACATTGTGAGGGCGTTTTTACTTAGCAGTTTTCCTTTAGAAAAATTACCATGTCTGACAAACAAGCCCGTTGAATGGGATCCTATTGACAGTACACCGCTGGTATGTGGGGGTCTGAGCGGCTCCGACAGAAATATTGGAAGGCAGGATGAACTGACTGCACTGATTAAGTTTTCAGGTGGATTTTCCCACTTAAAAACATAATAAAACGACTTTATTCCCACTGATCACAGCAAATATAGCTGCAAGGCAAATAAAGGATAGTGAAGCTCCGCCCAACGCGCGTCAGAGCCACTTTTCAACCGTGCAGCCAGAGCAGCAAAGCTTCTTCAGCCGCGCGTCAGAAGCTGGTACAAGCAGCAAAAAGGAAGCAGCAGACGCGATTTTGCTGCTCTTGCTGCGTCCAGTTTGAAAGCAGCATGATTCACTCCGCTCTGGCTTTGCTCTGCCCACGGGCTGCTGAGAGGAGGATGGTTGCGCTGGCTGCGGTCCACTCTTCTTGCAGTCAAACACCGAGCAACTTTCTGCTCTTAAATTGTTTCCGTGCACGATGTATTGCATTGCACACCATTAGCATCAGTCTTAATAAAATGAAGCCGCACTTTTGACCTGGGGGGCATTTTAAAGGGGTTCCATGACACTCTCAACCAGTTCACAACAGATACACATGAACTCTGGCTGTAGGCGTGACCACCTGTGTATTTTTCCTGGATGACGCAATCACGTTAAGTGTTACAGCCAATCACCGAAACTTGGTACCGAAAGACGAGGCATGTTTCGATACTCTGTAGAACCGAAGCATTTCGGTCGGTACCATAAAAGAACCAAAGTTCGGTACCCAGCCCTAAGCTAGGGTCGAAGTGCCTCCGTTGTCTCCATAATAAATACTATCCGAATAGTGCTGACAGTTGGGTAGGAGCTACAGTAAGACCAGTGATCTGGATTATTTGTGTTAAGGGCAGATTAGACTTCTGCTACCGCATATATCAAATGTCGCTTCGGTCTGGTCGCGAACCAGATTTGCTAGTATGCTTCCGCACCATCTGTCTGGAATTTCTAGGGACGCACAGCAGTTTCCGACCAAAGCGCAAGGGTATTCGAGAACTCGCGAGAACTTTGGGGGATGGTCACAAGAAGTTAGGTGGTGCCGGTGGGAGTGTTTAACTTCCAAAACAACAATGGCACCTTCTGCAAGATATCACAGACATGGATCTGGAGTTGCTAGACATCCAAGAGGAACAGGTTCTGTTAATGGAGTTAACTGTTGCAGAACCTCTGCGCGGGGGTGTGTGGTCGCGCACATAGACAGATTTGACGGTTGAAGGGGCTATGCGTCAAAAGCATAGATTTGCCTTTAGTAACTGTCATAATGAGAAATAGTTTCCTCAGTGGTAATTGTTTTTTCCTACTGAATGCTGCTTATTGAATAGCAATTGTTCAGATCCTATTGTCAGTATTAGTAATCGAACTTCCTCTTCTGTTACTAAATATATTGCAGGCAGTATTATATACTTAGTTGCTATATATATATATATATATATATATTTGACCATATTTAGTGGAAGAAATTGTGCTGTAATTAATGTTCATGGATTTTACACCACTTCAATAGAAGTAGTGTAAAATATTAGGGGTTCTAAAATAAAGCTCAATTATTTTAACTTTCAACCAATCTGATCTAATAATCAGATTGGTTAAATCTTGTATTAAATCGAATAAGCGATTTAATACAAGAAATGTATTTCTTGTCTTCCTCATGATTATGTATTTAATAACCGAGGAGCAAAAAGTTTTATTTAACTGAAAAGTTGGAGTATTTTGTTGATATATTTACCGATTGAAAGGAGATTCATTCATTACAGGCTCTGTGATGGAATCAATTACACATTTTTGTCGTGTCCCTAATCAGCACTGCTGCATGTTGTTTTTTTTTAAAGAAAATTATTGGTGGATAGCAGTTATTATTCATTATAGTACAAAACACTTAACAACTACTACACACTTATTACCAATAACATTACTTACATTTCTATTACCAGCAACCTGCTACTGCACATTATCCACCTATTTTATTTTAGGATTATATCAATAATTGATTCATCACAATCAATCCGATTAATGGTTTAAGCCCTTGTTTAACCCTAACCCTAGTTTATTTATTTTAATTAGAAAATACTTGACTGGTATGATGGCCTAACTTCCCTAGTCGGGAATAATAAAATTAGCATCTCATTGTGCATCTCTGCGGGCTCGTTACATACCGAGCTTAAATTTAAACATTTTTCGCTTTTTTAAGACCATTTAGCCGAATTCCTGTTGTTGGAAAGGTGCTCTTCAAAAGATTGTTATTGATTTTTATAGATCAGTAGCAAAGTGTGTGTTTGGATGATGGCTGGAATTAACAATATTTTTGCTAATCAATAAATCTATTGATTTTTTTTTTTTATTAATAATCAATAGCAAAAGGTGTCTTGAGGATTTATTTTATAGAATTTAAACCGATTGATGCTAGAATTATGCCTGTTGAGGAGTTCTGCATAGAGCATATTCACGGGAAAAAAGGTTCTTCATCGTCAAAATAATTTCTGCTTTGAGTGTTTTGGTAAATTGCGATCATATTGCAAATGCAATTAATTACCTAGCTTTTGTCATGATTAATCCGATTAATTGTTCCAGCCCTCGTTGAGATGCTGAAGCTGAAATCCACTTGAGTTCAGTTTAAAGGCAGTTAATCATAGTTAGATTATGATTTAACAAGGGGGTGATTGATTATTCACAAGTGTCCGAGTTTGTTGTAATAGTCCCCATTTCTTCCTACTTTGTAAAGTAACTAATTTATAAACGGCTTTTTGTCAGGGAATTTGTTGAATGTTTGAAGTGAGACAAAAACGGGAAGAAAAATAAAAACACCAAATTTCTTCACAGCATTTTACATCCATGTTGATGAATCCATCTTCGATTTAAACGTTCTTTTAGAGGAGTTTGAGTTAAAGATAAGATGGCCCAAATACCCTACATGTCCTCGCTTGAAAGGCTGTAATTAATGTGAGTCAAAGCCATAGGAGAGACCAGAGTTTAAAGCGTGTTACTCTTGCATGCAGTATTTACTAGATACATGCTGTTAAAAATCTTCTTAAGCTTGTTTATTAAGGGAACATGTTGGTTTCAAGGTCTGCTGATTGATACTGCTTCAATGGATATAGAATAATGTAAACAGACTTCTTACTCTTAATATATCGTTTATAACTTTTGCTTTTGTCTTGAAAGGATGACTACAAACTTTTAATTTTCTCTAGTAAGATTGAACACATTTTATTTGTTTAAGGTGAGTAGTCCAAAATGTGACAATATTAAGATGCAGTAAGCATTGACATAAAGATTTTAGCTGTACGCGGGCCTCCAGCTGCATTCTGCTGGGGTGAGGCGGTGGGGTTAATGGCTGGAGTGGAATGCAGCCATGTATAGGCTCTGTGGGCTCTGAGAGCCTTCCTCCTCCTCTTCCTCTCCTCGTCGTGTTCAGGCTGCTTCAGTCACTCACCTGCCAGCTCATATGGGAGGGAAACTTTAAAAATGAAGAATCTTGTCAAATCAGGTGATAGAAGCTACTTCGGGGAAAAGAAATAAGAAAATATGAGGGAGGATTTTTCAGCTTCTAAGTTGTCCCTATTAATAAAGGCTGGGTGTCTGATTTAGGCTATGCTTCGTAGTCCAGGAATGAGAAGCGATTAGCAATTGGAGTAGAGCATGTAGAGCTCTGAACTGTCACAGGGTTTGAGTGATGAGGTCATCCAGCCAGCAAAGTTATTTTCTGATCAGTGGTTCTTCCAGAGGTAGTCTCTGAAACTGACCCAAATGCTGTGCAGTCACCGTGTTGAGGCTATTGTTTGCTATTGCCTCAGACCAATGTGGGGACTTACTCAGTAGCAATCTATACTTCTTGGATATTATAATCATACATTTCTAATCATTAACTGGAGTACACAGACTCTAAAACATGGCCTTTTATTTCAATCAAAGCAGTAAGTAAGCCAAAACTTTACAAACTATAGACACATTTTGCAGATAAATTAAAAAAAAGGCTCTGTCTGAAAATATATTTAATTAATTTTTTTATTTTATATTATTGTTTAAAAAATCTACACAGAACTCTTAAAAAAATATATTATTAATGAATGAGTCAACAGCTTAATTAATTAGCAAAATAATCATTGCAGCCTTACTCTATACTAAACTCCTTTTTTTCCCCTTCATTTTAAATTAATCAAAGCTAAAATATTTTGTCTATAAAAGCATCAACCAGCATTGTGTTGTGCACTGCACTTTTTTTCTGTTAAATAGAAATCAACACTTGTCACGTGTTTGAGATTTAAATGAGAAAAATCATCCAAGATCAGGCATGTGCAGCACCTTTGACATCTTTTTAGCTCAGAAAAGCATGGTTGGTTTAACTTCTGGCCTTACTTTGCAGTGTTTCTGCAGTGTTCAGCCTCTTTTCCTTTATCTGTTCCTGTAATTTTTTTTTTTACAGCATCCCAGTCAAACAGCAGCCTGAAGAAGCAGCGGAGTCGAAGTATATTCAGCACATTCTTTTGTTGCTTCCGTAACTACAATGTGGAGCCACCAGCTACCAACAGCAGCTCCCCGCCTCCTCCTGTCGAGGAGAACGGATCGCCTCCTAAGGTAGGACTTAAACAGTCCAGCGTTGGACCACATCTGCTCTCTTTATTTCATCGTATGCCAAATAGCATCTTCATTAGTGTGGTCAGTTTGTGACTTTTTTTTTCTTCTGTTGTTTTTTTTTTTGTGTGTGTTCTTACCCTGGTTATTGTTTGTATTTTATTTCTTGTGTTGTAGTGTGACCAGGTCGAGGTCATCCCTGACCCTAGTGTATGTATGACAATTATTTTTCTCCCATTGCATGCAGGGTGTGTGGGCTGGTGCATCCTCTCTGTGTGGGAGCTTTGACTGCTCCTTTTTTTTTTTTATTTTTTTTTTATTTCCCATCATTCTCTGCTGATTATATCATAGGAAGTGTGCACCTTTTTATACTAAACTGCTGAGCACTTGCACAAATATCCCTGTCTCTCTAAATCAGCATTTTTTTTTTCATGTTACTGCCAGAAAACTTGGTGTCTGTTTCTCTGGGATTGTATGCAAAGTACCAATACAAAGAGGCGCATAATTGTAAAGCTGGAGGAAAATTAATACTTTTATCAAAGTCTGACCAAGCTTCATTCAACCCGCATTTTATAAATAAAAAATGTACCATCTAGACTGACAGGCTGGGCAGGGAGAGCAATAATCAGAGGAGCATTCTGGAACCTCCTGGTAACCTTTTAAGAGCTATAGTGATCCAAAACTACAAGAATCTTTTGTCAGGATGATATGAAATGTAGAAGAAAATCAGTGTTGTCCAGCTTATATTCTGCCTTAGACCAATCTGGTCAATCTGAAAACACATTTCTTGCTGAAACATGGTGGCCAAAATCAGATTGTGAAGAATCCTTGGTGAGATTTCAGAATCTGAGTTGTCTGTACAATTTTCCTGAAGGGAAAGAAAGAATAAACCAACATGTACGTGTTGGTTTAATGTGTATAAAGGTAAAGGTGGTAGAGGAACACTTCTAGGGCTGAAACAATTAACCGGATTAATCGTGATTATTAGATTATTTTAATAGCGGTCAGCTAATTTAGTAATTTGTTTATCGTTAAATTGAGTATAGAAACTGTAAAGCATATCTTTAGCTGACAGAGCAACCCACAGCAGTAATTGTATCAAAATTGTTAAAAAATACATACAAATTTTGCATTTAAGATAAAAAAAATAACTATTTCATCTGTCAGTATGATCTATCCAGAACTCCTCAAGTGGAAAAGTTTTAGTTTACCCTTTTTTTCTTTTGTGAAAAAATCTTCTTTAAGGAACCTTTTGCTGTCTGATTATTAATCAATTAATATGAAAAATAATCAACAGATTAATCGATTTGCACAATAATCACTTGTTGCCACCTTAAACACATCCCTAAAGACTTGCAGCTGTAACATTAGAGAATCCGTGTGTCTAAAAGACAAATGCATCTAAGATATCAGTAAAAATTTAAGAAAGTCATGTAGCATTTTTATATCAATTCGATACTTTGTGTTGTCCTGTCTTAGGAAATTCCAACTGAATATTATTTTCGTGTTGCAAGGTGAAGGCACTGGACATGCATGAATGACACATGGTCTCTATGCCCTAAAATAAATCCCACTACGTCATTAAAGCATAGAACTGTGTTTGCTTTGGAAGTTTCTAGTGTATTCGTTCTTTTATTGTGCTACAATTAAATAAAGTTAAATATAAAGAGGCAAGAAACAAACGTCATCCCTTTATGTTTGGCTTATGACCTCACTTGAGGTAAAACTAATTGATCTCCTTACTTGGAAGCAGTACTTAGCTGTGATCTGCTTACATGCGACCAGCTAAGTTAAATTGGTCATCAGTAAGGGTCTGGCTTATCTACTCTGATTCTCCACTGTTATCCCACCAAACACCAGACGTCATTCAGACATTTTTATTTTTTAGGCTAAATCTGGCCGGTAGTCTTGATTTAGTCCAGAAGTTACTGAAATTAGGGCTTTGATTGGTCACTCTGGTTTCTTCCCACTTGTCCCATATTAGACATTGAAAATATGTTGATAACTGGGTTTTCTGCGTCTTTTCAACAATCTGAAAATTACCGCTTTTGACCTTTTCCTTTACAACCAAATGTAGACGGCGTTTAGGTGTCAATCATGTCATCTTTTTTAAAGTCTTTTCAACCAATTTTTTGCCCGGTGGGACGACACTGAGCTACAGATCTGATATTAATGTGTTTTTCTAGTAATTCACACCAAACACAGCAGTTAGGGGATCCTATAGGCTGTTATTTTTAAGGTAATACAACAAAAAAACACATCAAAGAATTGATTCAGCCTGTTCAGTTGGAGGGAATGTTGATGATTAGGTCCTTCTGGCACCCATTTGTATGATTATATTTTTTTGAGATTCTTATAATGTCAAAGTCTTTCATAGCAGTATCACAGTTCCACAGTATCATGTTGTTGGAACAGAAAGTGAAGTAAAAGTTTTGAAAATGACCAAAGGTTTTTTTTAACCATTTATTGTTAAATGCTCATTCAAGTTGGACACAGTTTAACCAAACGTCCCCTCCCCATTGACGCTCTCCAGGTCCATCTGAGGGACCCTGAGATATTACTACATTAGTGAGAAACATAAGCCCATTTTAAACTGAAAGACCCAACATTTGTTGCCTGGGTTACAGGAGTCCCAGGGAATTGGTCAGCCTGGGGGGCATTTACCTCGATTAGCCTGAGGAAAAAGTGCATCACACATTTAGACCAGGAGGTGGCGGTAACAAGACACAACGGGCTTTACCCCTTCTTGCCATTGTAACGCTACTTTTCCTCCCTTAAAAATGTGCTATTTTGTGTTTTAACTTTTATTTAGAGATATGCAGTTAATTAATTCAATACATTGTTAGGTGTAATGGATTCATGAGTAGGAAAATATAAAATTATTTTACATTAAATTTTTATTGATCTCCATCTGGTCAGAGTTGTTGCTCTGCAACTGATTAAATTGCAATAACTGCTAAGACTGAAATAATCTGCAGTTTTATTTATTATTTTAATGATGAGCAGGTAAATATTATATTGGATATTGACAGCAAAAATAGAAAATATTTAAAGCCAATGTTTCATTTATTACAGTGAGACTGGAGGTACAGGAAATGATGCCTTGATTATAAATTATATTTGTATCAAATAGAAGTTGTATACAGTGGAACCGACGATGACATGACCTTTAGTGATAGTTACTGCATCCAAGCCATTTTCTCTCTTCCTTTAGAGCTATCAGCATAGATCCCAATATATTCCACATATATATACATAAAGTCAGAGTTCTGTTTTTGATCATTGCTTCTCCAACTTATTAAAGAATTTACAAATAATATAAACATGAACTTAAAATGTAAAAATTATTTCCGTGAAAACTATTTGATTCTATATTCTGGTATTAGCAGTTTTTTCCAAGTACCTAATAATCATTAGTATTCACTTTAAAAACTTAACCAAAAGCAGGAAATTGCTGAGTGTCTGTCTGAGGCCCCGTCCACACGAAGCCGAACCCTGGCCTAAACGCACACATTTTTCACCAAACCAGCCTCTCATCATTCAGCCTTCAGAGTGGGAAGATTCTGAAACGCCGTTTTCGCGTTTCCATCTTTAAGCTCTAACCGCATTTTTTTTTTTACACGCATGCGTCATAGCGTCGCCTCTAAACACGCATGCGCGACACAGTATCACAACAACAATGGCGCCGTACTGTGTTCAATGGTTGCTGCTCCTGCTACTCACCCTGCTGTCGGGCTTACAACAGAATCTTCTTCTTCTGGAATATCTCCAGGAAGAACAGAGCAATATAGACGACATAGTTCAGCACCTGAATTTGACTGAACCACGAAAATGGACCCGCAGGGCAACCATGTATAAATATTAGTGCGCATGCCCAACATTTCGTCGCTTATTTTTGCTTTGGTACGACAGCGCCACTTACAGGCCTGGCATACATTTTGCAGCGTTTTCATGCATTCGTGTGGACGATCACATTTATTTTACGTCTCCGTCTTTACGACAAACGTTTTGGAAAATATCAGCGTTTCGTGTTCGTTTTGACTTCGTGTGGACGGGGCCTGAGTTGAGGCTATGGAAACTGGGTATTACCAGTAAATGTCCCGTCTACAGAACTCTGCTGCTCTGAAAAGCTTCAAAAGCACATCTAAAATCAGGCTCATAATCTTGATGCACTGACTGCATAGATTGAGTAGTACTATTTATGACAAAGTATTTAACGGGAAATGACTGACTGAATACAAATCCCAGCAGCATTGGCCAGAGCCAGTAGCCAGAGAAGCCCGATGGCATTAACTGTTTACACAGATTAATTTTTGAATTCTATTTCCCCCTTTAAAACATCTTAAATTATTAAAGATATAAAACCAATATTATATGCTCACCATCAGTTATTGCCTGTGCTGGTGGAACATAGTGCTGCAGGATATTTTGCTGGACATAATCACACGTTTTCAACAATCAAAATGAATATTTAAAAGCCTTACTTCAGGTATGAGTAAAGTGAAACTACTTAAACTCCCCCAATCAGACCCTAAAACACCTTCCTATATTCCTTCCTACTGTATATCTAGGGACAGCTACTGTTCCACTTCTGCTTGGAGGATGGAGCTTGTCTCTTTAAGGGTCACCCTGCACAGGAAGCTGAGTTCATGTGCTTCTTTCTGTATCTCAGACTAAAGAGCTTTACTTTTTGGTTTGCTCGTAGTTCACCACCTACCCCACAATGCTATCACTTATGAGCAAAATTAGCTTAAGGCAAAAGACTGAGCGCCGAGGGATCAATCTGATCTTTCCATGACCAAAAACATTTTAATTTGCCTTTTAAACAATAGGATTTGTAGTAACTACTCCAGCTGACAGCAGCAGGAAAACGCGGCTTGCTCATGACACTTAAAAGGTTTTTAAGCAAACACATCTCACTATATTTGGATAAGGAAGTCAGCCCACATTGAACAGAGTTTTGCACCTAGGTGCTCCTTCCCTGTCTGCAACTTTGCAAACCTCATCTCTGCAGTCCATGTTTTTAGGATGCTTCAGATAATTATTATAATTTTTTTTTTTTACATCTTAATTTGTTTAAACTCTGGGATATATTTGTGTTTAGCTTTAAAGTACAGTTGTTTATTTTTATATATCAACATATTTCTCCTGATTAGAAGTAATATTAAGATTTTGGATCAGCCTGAAAAGAACCCGGACTTGAGAACCGGTAAAGAATCTACAGATTAGGGTGATAGCACGGAGGCCTTCCAACCTCTAAGAGCTTATCAGCAAAGATAACCGTTGAACACATTGGTTGAAACAAGCAAAAAGCTGCAAAGTCATAAGATAAAGTCGATTGCTGAAATGTGGAAACAGACTTTTTCACTGATGGTGCAACTTGTCATACCATTTTTAAAAGGATAGAAATGCAATCAATTAAAATTGATATTCGTTTTATTATTGTTTTGTGAAAGGTGCACATCTCACTTTCTGTCACAAATAAAGTTCTTGTTTGAATAAAATTTATTTAAACTCTAAATCTACAAGTGGAATGAATAATTGTGGGTTTAACTGCAGCTAATAAATTGTATTATCTTCTTGGTCCAATATGGGAGAACATCTGTTATGCATAATGTAATCCAGCAGCATAGTTCTTCTCTTTCTTATGCTTTTGATATAATTTGCTTTAATTGGGCGTTTGATTAGTAAAGCTCTTCAAATAAACCTGAAAGTCTGCCTTTCAGTTTCAATGCATCCCTTCTAATGCTTTGGACATGCTGGAGTGTTTGGATGTAGCAGAAAAAATTACCCACTGATTGAAGCAATTATTATTTTAGAGCTCTAATCCAGCTTTAAGCATATTTCTGGAGTTGCCCATGGAAAGATGTTCCTCTAACACAATATGTTTGGGAGCTTTTCTGCACAAAACCTAGTCTTAAGTCCAAGTGTCTCATTGTATCTAACGTTGCCTGCTTTTCCCTCTCTGCAGCCACCAGCCAAATACCTCCTACCAGAGATGAAAATATCTGACGATGGTAAAAAGTGTGTGGTGATAGACTTGGATGAAACACTCGTGCACAGCTCATTTAAGGTGAGAGGAGACGGAAATTGAGGTGGACTGTTTTTACGTGCATCTCTCATCTGTACATATGTTGGTCAGGGTTATTTCCTTTCTTTTTAACAGTTTTTTTAACTGTATTGAAAACAATAATTATCCTGTTAATTAAAGGCACAAATGTGCTAAAAAAATAAAGGTGTTATACTACTGGCTTAGTGGCTTTCAATCTTTAGAGCTTTTTGCCAGGGAATCTGCTCCTGACTCCGTAAATGTTACTGTAGTTTTACATCTTTCTATCTAGTTAGGCCTAAATAAAACCATCCAGGTCATCAGTCAAACCATGATGAAGACTTCACACTTGCTACAAGCAGGACCTCTGCTGCTCAGTTTAGGTACTGTATTTTCTTTGGAATTTCTCTCATGCATTACGATGTTTGTGTTTGCAGCCCATCAGTAATGCTGATTTTATTGTACCGGTGGAGATCGATGGTACCGTTCACCAGGTATTGTATAGAACCAAAAAATACACTAAATGTTTTTTTTTTGGCATAGATTAGCAGGATTCCATGTTTCCTGTGTGAAGATCCTGGAGAGACTGACTGGTATCCAGTTCAAGTAATCCAGGATAGGCTGTGTGTATCCAGGTTGGCCTATTCAGGATTACTTGCAATGGGTGTCAGCCAATAGGCGAAGAGCAAGGGACAGAGATGTGGGGGAGGTTGATGAACAAAGTGAAAATAAATGCTACTCCTTTTTTTTCTTTTTTATTTATTTAAAAAAAAGAAAGAAAGAAAATAAATGCTATTTCCCGCAGTAAACGATAGAGTGTGTTGATTGTTTTTGGTTTTGATTCAGGTGTATGTGCTGAAACGGCCCCATGTGGACGAGTTCCTCCAGAAGATGGGGGAGCTGTTTGAATGTGTGCTCTTCACAGCCAGTCTAGCTAAGGTACGGGATGGAGGAATTTATTCATTATGACCCTTTCTGTTTACTAAGTAATGACACTTCATGTTTTTTTTCTTAACGGCTGTTTTGGTTTGTTGTTTGATTTGTTGTCCTTCTTTTTTTATGTATCTTTTCCAATAATGAACCGGTAAGTTTGAAAAATAGACAAATAGTTCAGTAAGATACTTATTATTGTTGCTCTAAGAGCTACTCCACATGCTAAACAAAGTGCTAGGAATCAGTGCTTTTTGTTAACTAAAGTAGTATTTGTTGACATTGTCCTCGCTTCATAAATGGCAATCAAGGACGCCATCCTTCTTGTACTTTGAAGTCATAGTAACCCATTTAGTTTTTGCAAGTTGTTCTGCTTAAAACTGTGGCTTGACTCACATGTTACTCTGCTTTACATCACAAAACCATAAAATTGTCTATGTACCGTGAACATTTTTGAAAAGCGTTGCATCTATGTGTCTGTCTGAACAGTATGCAGACCCCGTGGCAGACCTGCTGGACCAGTGGGGGGTTTTCCGAGCGCGGCTCTTCAGAGAATCCTGCGTGTTTCACAGAGGGAACTATGTTAAAGACCTCAGCCGACTGGGGCGAGAGCTCAACAATGTTATTATTGTTGACAATTCCCCTGCCTCATATATTTTCCATCCAGAAAATGCTGTAAGTTTGTATTTTTCATTGATTTAGAGATCTTAGGTGATTTGGTATGTACGGGCGAAGTGTTGAAAGCATTTTATGCCAGATACATCTAAATAGAAATCCAATTTAAGTTATTATTATGGATGCTGATGTTGGGCATTTTCCATCATACAGGTATCAGTCTGATAACTAAAAATTGGGTTTGTGTTGATAACTGAGGAGGGGATGATATAAGCTTTACTTGTTTGGTGCATTGATTATTAGCCTTAACGGCGATTTGGGGAACAATTTCACTTCATTTATCATATTGGTTCCTCACTGCACAGTGTCAGATCACCTTAAGAGGGTTTTTTCCGAGAACATTAATGAACAAGATGGAAGAACACAGCAGACATGCCAGGGAGAAAGCTGTGGATATGTTTGGAGAAGTGTTGGGTTATAAAACGATGTTCCAACTTTAAACTTCCTACTTTTTGGTGTTTTGATACATCTATCTGGGGGGAGAGTTTTACATCTGCAAACCTACTAAAGACCTGACAATTAAATGAAACTGACTAGCTCAGCAAGGAGGGCATTATCTAAAGAGGTAGTCGAACATTCCTCAATTTTCTAGAAATCTGTTAAAAGGAACAACTATTGGTTCTGGATTTAACCAAAGATATGGCATCCATGTAGTTAAAGTAACCTGCTCAGATTAGACTAAAACAAATCTTTTTTTGGTCTAAATATAAACTTCTGTGAGTGGTGAAAACATGGTGCCTCATCCAGAATACCCCCGTCTCCATGGTGAGAAAACCTGTTTAAGGGTGCAGATGACTTTAGACTGGGGTGGAGGTTCACCTTTATACTGGACACAGCCCTACACAAACAGCCAGAGCTTTAGATCCGAGCTTATTCATGCTTCCAAATGGTCCAGTCAAAGTCCAAGCCTAAAGGCAGTTAATATTTTGTGGCAGGACAGCTCTCCAAAGCCTGCCATCACCTCTGACTAAGCTCGGTCTGTTTTGCAATGAAGACGGTCAAAGGTTGAGACTCCCACTGGTTTATGCTGTAATTGTAGCAAAATGTGATTCACCGAATCTTCTATCAAGCTGACTGTTAACATTGTTCCCCCAGGTCCCAGTTCAGTCTTGGTTTGACGACATGAATGACACAGAACTCCTGGACCTGCTGCCTTTTTTTGAGAAACTCAGCAAAGAAGACGAGGTTTACGGAGTCCTGCAAAATTTCCGAAGCAGGTAGCAGGACATGCTGCAGCTCAGCCTGTGCTCTGCGGCCTCCTCTCTGTCCATCTCTGTCCTTTTTCTACAGCCCGCCGTCTCTCCAGGCTCTGGAAGATGACCCGGGAGGCAGGGCGGGGGGGTTCTCACTGTGGAAACCTCCGTGTTCAACCATGTCTCTCTGCTCTCTCCTCCCTGTGACTGGCTGCCTTCTGAGTGCCATCAGAAAAACACAAACCTTTATTATCCCAGGACCACTGTGTCTCACAGAAACCACACCAGAAAGTGTACCGAGCATCCTTAGTTAATGGTATTGGGGACAAAATACCGAGAGGAAGGAACTCTTTATTTTCAAAATCGGCTTTTACTATTCAGTAAAGTGCTAATTTTTAAACCAAAAGCAAAAAGAAAAGCAACTTTCCATCTAAGACTCTTTTTGTGGAACCACACAGAAGCCTGGAAACTATTTTGTCCTCATATTGTTGCTATGCAGGCAGTTTCTGGTAGTAGAAAGTACTGTGACTCTTTTCTTACTGAATGAAGTGCCTTGTGTGAATGTCGTTTATATGGGGAGTCGTTTTCTACATGGCATATTTCCAGAGTACTTTTGGTTTTTCACAGAATATGCTTTAAAGTGGACACAAGAGTATCAGTATCTAAAGTTGTACTTCACTTTTGTTTTTTCTTTTGGATCATCGGCCGCTGGTTATACGTCTCGTAGTACTTCTTTTTTTTTTTCTCTGTTTTTCCTGTATGCTTGTGCCATTATATAGGTGTGACTTTGTTTCTTTCAGCTTTCATTATTTGGAGAGCTAGTTTAATTTTTATGTTAGGCAAATGGCCGTGCTTGCAGCTGTGAATATCAAGCCCCCACCTGCTGCAAGTTTTATTCTTTCTTTGATCATTCGATCTGAAAGCTCAGATAAAACTGTGCCATTCATTCATCCATTTCCTCCACATTTTTTTTAGTTATTGCTTTTTAATTTTTTTCCCGCCAAACGAGGAAATCTCCTTTATTAGGCTCCATATCTTTGCCACAGTTTGAGTTAAGCCTGTTAAATGATTATTAAATATAGCATTATAGTGTATTTGCTTTGAGATCTGTTCTGTTACGTTTATCAGATGACCGGCTCTCGGTCTGTGCTGGTCTTTGAAAGAGTCTGAGGTCGCTGAGGCACACAGAGGACGCCATGTCTTCGCTCTTCCCTCCTGACTCGAGGAACCTCCAGGAGTTTGGTGTAGACGCTTGTCAATATCACACCTTCGTCCTGATTGACGTGCCGTCGTTGCCGGGGCTTCTCCGGCCTCGCTGGAAGACCATATGTCATGTTTATTGTCCCAGACTTTTTCTTTTATAAAAACAAACTAACTCTTCTTCACCTCAGTGCCTATGTTTGAAAGGAGCCCAGCAAAACCAAATGCTGCAACATTAGATACCATGGCAATAACCTTTTGTTTTTTTTTTCCTTTTTTTTGCATTATTATGTTTCCATCCCGATTTGTTTTGGGTTTTCTAAGAGCACTTGACAAATCCATGCAGTAGGGGTTTATGATTCCTGCTTTCAGATCAGACGAAAGACAACCTTTTATTAAGAATAATCTTTATCAGATTAGTGCTGGAGCAGTTAGAATGCTGGTTGATTCTGGGGAAAAGTCAGCTTTCATTTAAGGTAGACTGTGAAAAGTGCGCCTTGAGGAGCGTCCTGCTGATCAATGAAGCGCTAGCAGGGTCCTGAAACGGAAAATTGGACAGTGAAGAACTGAATCCTTGGCGTTGATGCCTTACTGCCAAGGGAGACACAAAGCAGGTCTTCTTTCTCGATCCAGCATTGCATTGAGAGGGATGCTGTTCAGTCTGTGGTGTTGAATCTCAGAGCTGCATATGTGGATCATACGCAGCCTGGCTGAGGTGACATGTCCCAACAAACTGGGGATTGTTGCTTGGTTTAAAGGGTCATGGTATTTTATGAGAAGGCTACACTACTTCATACGTTTTTCTTTATCTCAAAGGTCGCTGCTCCTTCAGGAAAACCTGATCATCTGATCTTTCTGTTGAGCATTTGTGTTGGTAGTGAGTTCAGGTCATGATGGTTTTGGCGCAATGCTTTTTTTTTTGTTTTTTTATACATATAAATATATATGAAGCATTGCTTTTACTCTTCTACACCTCTCTAATTTATCTGAAAATTTTCATTGTAATATTTTTCTACCTACATCTTGTCAGTATTTGCTATAAAAAAAGTCATGTAACCCATTTTTTAGATTTGTTTTGTCTCTGTCTTTTGCCTTTTTTTGAGAGCTCTCTGTCAGAGGGACAAGTTTACGTGTCTGTTTCCTTAAATTTTTCCCCACCATTTCACTTACGATCACGTCGATCCATTTGTATTAACACCAAAGTTCTAAAACACTTAAGGTTCAGTCACAGTGGTTTCGTTTTGGTTCAGGTTCACTTCTTTTGTTTTTTTGCAGAAAACACTTTGTTTTTT